CGTAAGACCGTTGGGTGCAAGTGGATCTTCAAGAAGAAGACCGATGTGGATGGAAACGTACACACGTATAAAGCGCGATTGGTTGCGAAGGGTTTTACTCAAACTCCCGGAGTTGACTATGATGAGACCTTCTCACCAGTTGCGAATATTAAATCTATTAGAGTGATGCTAGCAATTGCCGCATTTCATGATTATGAGATTTGGCAAATGGATGTCAAGACCGCTTTCCTTAACGGAAAGTTGGCTGAGGATGTTTACATGGCTCAGCCAGAGGGGTTTGTGGATCCGAAGCATCCGAATAGAGTGTGTAAGCTTGAGAAGTCCATTTATGGACTTAAGCAAGCGTCTCACAGATGGAATCTTTGCTTCGATGAGAAAGTCAAAGAGTTTGGATTTGTACGAAGCGAAGACGAATCTTGTGTATATGTCAAAGCCAGTGGGAGTATAGTAAGCTTCCTCGTTCTATATGTCGATGACATATTACTCATAGGAAACGACATCCCGACTCTGCATGAGGTTAAGTCTTGGCTCGGGAAGTGCTTCGCTATGAAGGATCTCGGAGAGGCTTCTTACATTTTGGGAATAAGGATAGTAAGATAAAGAAGTAAGATACTAATTGGACTTAGTCAGAATACTTACTTAGAGAAGGTACTAAAACGTTTTAGTATGGAAAACTCAAAGAAGGGAGAACTACCGATACAAGGAAATGCCAAGTTGAGTAAGACTCAAAGTCCGAGTACCGAAGCTGAGATAGCAGAAATGAGCCGAGTACCATACGCTTCCGCAGTTGGCTCAATCATGTACGCTATGACTTGTACTCGCCCCGATGTAGCCTTTGCTTTGAGCATGGTTAGCAGATATCAAGGGAACCCTGGCAAAGCACATTGGATTACGGTGAAAAACATCCTTAAGTATCTTCGGAGGACGAAGGAATGAATCTTAGTCCTCGGAGGGAGTGATGACTTGAAGGTGCAAGGGTATAGTGACGCCAGCTTTCAGACCGACAGGGACAACTACCGTTCGCAGTCGGGCTGGGTCTTTACCCTAAATAGAGGAGCAGTGACATGGAAGAGTTCCAAGCAGGAGACCGTAGCTGATTCAACGTGCGAATCAGAGTACATTGCAGCGAGTGAAGCGTCGAAGGAGACAATATGGCTGAAGAACTTCATTGGTGATCTTGGAGTTGTTCCTGCCATAAAGGAGCCTATGGAGATTTTCTGTGATAACGAAGGTGCGGTTGCCTTGACCAAGAAACTGAGGGATCATGGTAGATCTCGACATATCGACAGAAAATATCACTTCATTAGACATCGTGTAGAAGAAGGACAACTCGTAGTGAAGAGGATATCATCAGAAGATAACCCAGCAGATCCGCTTACGAAGGGACTGAGTAGGGTTAAGCACTTGCAGCATGCTAGGAGTATTGGGTTGAAGGATGATATTAGTATAGATTAGATAGTATTAGAAACGTATAATAGATAAATGTAATTAACATTTGATGATTAAATAAAGGAGTTTTATTTATAAGTAAAGTTACTGTCATATGTTAATTGTTTAACTATTGTTTCACTTTGCATGTTTTGACTTCCAGAATAATTGAGTTTATTAGGAATAATCGAATTATTCAAATTGTCCACACTCGTTCATATGTTAGAAGTAGATATGAATGAAGATTGTCATGAATTGGTGTGTAGATTGTCTAAATGGTGTTAGACATAGCAAGGGTTGCTGCAACGTTCATGAGTGCTTATGAACTGGTTTTGAGCATTGGAATAAACCCGCGCTTGCTGGAATCACTTTATGGAATACGATATAAAAGGTGATCGCAAGACGATAAGATCATATAGTCTTAAAACCTAGATATATGGTTTATTATTTGTTAATTGATTGTACATTGATAATGCGAAAACGCATCAGTAACTTGGTGTTATAAAACGTATTGTTGTGTATAGTTGGTTAATGAATAAGTAAATGCATATAAGTCGAAGTTTATCTGTAAATTTTATCCTAAGAGGGTAGAAGAGATATCTTGGCCACTCGATGATTTGATTTGACTTATGTGCCGGGCCCGGTCAGAACTGAATTGACGTGTTTGATTAAGTTCTATGTCAAATAAATCAGAGATCGAGAAATCTAAATGCTTGACTAACCATTCCATAGGATTGTCAGCATGATATCTAACAGAGGACTGTAAGATCCCTTATCTAAAGGACAAGATTGATTAGATCAGAGTTTGATAGCGTCTTTGAGAGCTACGATTGCAAACCGAATTGTACTTGTATAGTTACTAGACTTATCCAAGTGGGAGACTGTTGGAATAGTGTCTAAGGCTGCAACTATATTAGGCAAGTATTTGATCCGGTTGTGCATGGTCCTTTTGGGTTGCTTTCACCATAGCAACTTGATGGATGATTTGTTAAGAGAGAGTAAATATTATAAGGAATAATATATGGTTATTTGATTAATATGAGTCATAGATTAATTGGAATTAATTTGGTGACTTAAAGAGATTAATTAAATAAGAGGGTATAAACTATCAATTGTTTGATAGTTACACTTTAGACTATAAATCCTTATCCTAGATAGGATGGACGATTTCTAGGGCTTGGATAAGCCAAAATCGTCCATAGGGTTATCAAGGATAGGATATGGATCAACTTAAAGTCTAAGTTATCCAATTAGGGTTAAAGTTGTAATCCTTAAGGAGTCTACAAGTATAAATAGACCCTAGGGGTGAAGGAATTCGAGGAATCACAACACACCATCAAAAGTAGAGATACTCTGGCCGAATTCCTCCCCTCTCCTCTCTCCTAAATCATTCTTCTTGCTATTGGTGTTTGTAAGCCATTAGAGGAGTGACATTTGTGACTCTAGAAGCTCCAATACAACAAGATCAACAAGGAACTCAAAGGTATGATTCTAGATCTGTTTCAATGTTGTTATTTAACCTAATTAGCCATTAGAAGTCTTAGATTCAAAGCATGTTTAATTAGAAAGCCTAGATCCGAGCAATAGGGTTTTGCATGCGCACATAGGAAAGTTCTTATGGCTAAAACCCATCAGATATGTCATCACCCATACCAGTCGTAGTCATGTGAAAGTCAAAAGGAATACACACCATAAAAGAAGTTTCTAAAAAACAAATCAGGCTTATCCACTAAATAATTAGAGGGAGCGGTTAAAGCGTTTATTAAGGGCAATCCAATCAAAGTAAGAGAAATGACATGCGACGACACAAGCATTTAATACGCCCCATTGTAAAGGACATTCTAGTACCCAAGGTAGATATCCAAGTCTGAATGGCAAAAATATGCAATATTCTTTTACCCTTGAGATCGGGGGGCTTAACGGTAGTCTGATGAAATCTGTTACTGGCTCGATACTTACCAGACCGACGATACAAACACCACGACTTGTCACAAACGAATATAAACTCGAATACATCATACACAAGTATCGGGACCATACCCAAGGAAACATACAAAAGAAATGGTAAGACACTATAAAATAACAAGGAAATGACAAGGGACGTGCCTGCATGTAGACCAGATAATAGATGAGGGACCAGACAATACTATAAACCTTTCTAACACCGAGCAACTTATAAATACCCTAGAGACATGATATACAAAGAGAGTGAGGTAAGGCAAAAAGAAAGACATCATACATAACATTAAGGTAACACCAAGAATCACAATCTAACTTAGGCATTAGAGAGCTATATCGGGGTCCAACCCTCGGTATGACTGTATGACCTAACACTTGTTTATCTTATGCATATCAGATTGTCAGACACTTATTAGACGAAGACCTTTAGGTGATAGAGCTAAACACGCGCCTGGAGTTTGCCGTAACAACACATACAAACTAAAAAACCACATCAATGTTTACAGAAATCTCATGAGAACGACCATCAATGCCACATGTTGTGACAAAACTAGAGAATACGCTTAAATACCATGAGATTTATAAAGGGATGAACTACCAGACAAAGCTATGATACATCCTTCGCTCTCAGATCTAGAGAAGTCCTCATTTATGGGGACAAAACGGTAAATACCTATAATTTAAGCCATTTTTTTGACTTATTTTTTAAGTTGTGTGAAAGGTAAGGTGTTTTTAAACCTAAGCATGGTTCAAAGTCTTATTGAACAACAAAAAAGACTATCAAGAACAACCTAACAATGGACCACCAAAACCTACTCCAACAACTAGAAATGAAGGAACAAACTACCAACAACATAGCATACGAATCACCGTTTACCTTTCAGTCACTATTGCAAGTGCTTCTATACGAAACACACAACACATTCCTTGCCAACCTGAAGTGCTTACGCATGTCCCTCATATTCATCGAGAAACTGATCACAACCTATGAGGAGATGCTGTTGATTATTAAAAATGATCCATGAAAAAAAAGTCAAAGTATGTCGATAATTTTAACATATATAGGAAGGTTCTGTTTCCAACACCGATATACTATGTGAACTCAAGAATATTATGAAAATTTATGTTTGCATTATTATCCTTTTACAAACACTAACACGTTTACAAACTTCAATCAGACATTCACATGTTTTGCTAAAACTTATTCAAACCCATACCACTGCCACGGGAGGTTTCTACTCATTGATAATGAAAATGTTAAATAAATAAAATGATTTAGTCGCAAAAATATGTAATTATCTTTACATTTGTGTCCTTTCCCTAGAAAATTCTTAATTTTCCGTAATTCGAGTCTCCTACTCGCCTTTACATTAAAGCCTCCACACTTGCACACTCTCTTTTCCCCCTTTATTATACATCAACACCGACCAAGAATTAACGGCACATTAACCTCACCCACCCTTCTCTCTCAAATCATCGACCTTTCTTCCAACACAAAATCCATTCCTCAAAAACAAGGAAAAACCCACCTTGCATCTTTCTACTGTTTCATGAAAAGATTTCTTTTCAAGATCCGAATAGAAACACCAATATGCCTTAACTAATGTAAATCTTTACCTTTTTATTTCTTTCGCCTGAACCCACATACATTTTCCCTCTCTCTCTCTCTCTCTCTCTCTCTCTCTCTCTCTCTCTCTCTCCCTCTCTCCGACATCGAGTTAAGACATGGTAGTGAAGATGATTAAATGGAGGCCATGGCCGCCGCTTTTATCAAAGAAATTTCAGGTGAAATTGGTGGTGAAGAAGTTGGAAGGAGGGAGTAGTGATCCTGTGCATGCGGACACAGAGAAGGATAATCGAAGGGCTGTGGAGGTCAGATGGAAGGGACCAAAGAGTACATTTAGAAGAACAGTGAAGAGAAATTTCACGAAGGAGGAGATAATTGTGGAACCAAACGGCGTCGTTCTCTGGGATGAAGAGTTTCATACCATTTGTACCCTTTCTGGGTGTAAAGAGAATGTGTTTTACCCTTGGGAGATTGGGTTCACTGTTTTGAATGTGAGTTCCCTATACCCATTTAATTTTAGGTTTAATTGATTTATTTTATTTTAATGAATCTGAATTAGATTATGATAAATTGACCACAAGATTCTTTAGTTTATATTCCCGAAAATTAGGAATTTTTATCTCATTGTATAATCTTGATGTGACTTCACATTTGTCTCGTGGGTGCAATTAGGGCAAATGCAATTTTCGTTCATAGTTGATTTTATTCCCCTTTTTATGCGTTATGTATTGTAATTTATATGCAAATCTTTAAAAAATACCCTACTTTGACTTCATAAATACAAAAAAGGTCTAATTTGAAATCGGGATTTTTAAAGTTTCAAGAAAATCATACAAGCTAAGCTATTTAACAAGTTCTTAAAACACTATAGCATTTGTAACAAAAATTATAAATCTTGATTCTTGAATTCATAGTGCATAGTATGGAATTTTTTATTTGGGAAATTTTGTTTATATTTTCAGGGATTAACACCAGGGCCTAAGAATAAGGTTCCTATAATTGGAACAGCTTCCTTAAACCTTGCTGATTATGCTTCTGCCATTGAAGAAAAGGATTTTGAGCTTCATATTCCTCTTACTATCCCCTGTGGACCCCACGAGCCTCCCCCTTTACTTCATGTAAATTTCTTTCTTTCCCACTTTAAATCCATTAAAATTCTTTCATTCAAGATTTTGAGTTCTTGAATTCTATAATGCAGATATCACTCTGTTTGATAGAACTCAGAGCTGCTGCTCAAGAATCAGCAGAATCAATACAGAATCAAAGTCAAACATCAGAAAAGTCAACACAAAATCAAAGTCAAACAACAGAAAATTCATCAGGAGAAAAAGACGAGCTTTCTGCACTTAAAGCAGGGTTAAGAAAAGTCAAAATCTTTAAAGACTATGTGTCAATCAGACGAGCTAAAAAAGATCATGACATCAGCGAAAGCAGAAGTGAAGAGGGTGATTACACTTACCCTTTTGATTCCGATTCCGATTCCGGTTCCCTTTCTGATTCCGGAGAAAAAGAGAATAAAGAAAACGATGCTAATTTTAGGAAGTCATTTTGCTATGGTACATTGGCAAATGCAAATTACGCTGGAGGGTATCTTTATGAGAACAGTGTTTATTATAGTTATAGAAAATCTGATGTTGGATTGTCTCAGAAAGAGGATCCGGATCCTTCTATTTTGGAAGGGTACATTGGTCAAAATTCAAAACGAAGTATTTTACCATGGAAGAAGAGGAAACTTAACTTCAAATCACCAAAAGTCAAAGGTGAGCCATTGTTAAAAAAAGCTTATGGTGAAGAAGGTGGAGATGACATTGACTTTGACCGGCGCCAGCTCAGCTCTGATGAATCACTTATTGGGGTAAAATATTTTCATTCCCATTTTGCAATAAAAATTTTGGCTTTTTTTTGTGGGTTTGCTAGATTTTCTTGTTTTCTCATAAGGGTATGTGTGGTATTTGGAAAATAATCGATGAGTCTCTTGTTTTGGTATTTTTTTTCAACCACCTTGATATTGGACTTGCTTGTTTGATTACATTTTACAATAGTTTTTCTTACATTTTTAGTGGATTTGTAAGATTTATTTGTTTTCTCATAAGGCTATTTTCGGTAATTGTCAAGTAGTCAATGATTCTCTTGTTAGGGTAAAGTCTTTTTTCACTCTCTTGATCAAGATCTAGGTCTTTTGATTCCAGTTTGCAATAAAGTTTCTTGCTTTTTTGTGGGTTTGTAAGAATTTCTTGTTTTCTCATAAGGGTATTTTCGGTAATTGGCATGTAGTCGATGTGTCTCTTGTTGGGGTGATATCTTTTTCGCCCCCTTGATATAGGACTAGCTCGTTCGCTTCCAATTTGCAATAAGTTTTCTTGTTTTTTGTGGGTTTGCATGATATTTTTGTTAAGGGTATTTTGGTAATTGGCAAGTAGTCAATGAGTCCTGTTTAGGTAGAATTATTTTCACTCCCTTGATCAAGAACTAGCTCGTTTGATTACAATTTATGGATTTGCAAGATTTCCTTGTTTTCTCATAAGGGTATTTTCGGTATTTGGCAAGTAGTTATTAGTTAATGAGTATCTCTTGTTGGGGTAAAATATTTTTCACTTCCTTGATATAAGAATCGACTTGCATGCTTCAAATATCCTCTAAAGTTTCTTCCTTTTGTAGTGGGTTTGAAAGATTTTCTTGTTTTCTCATAAGGGTATTTTAGGTATTTGGCAAGTAGTTGATGTTTACTAATTACTATACTAATGGCAGTGGCAAAATGGATACGGGGACTCTTCTTTGAACCAATCTTGGATATCCGAGTTTGGGGACGATAATTTTGCTGTTGGAAATTGGGAACAAAGGGAAATTATCAGCCGCGATGCGTACATGAAACTTGAAACACAACTTTTCTTCGCATCCATCGATCAACGCAGTGAACAGGCGGCCGGAGAGGGTGCATGCACCGCCCTAGTGGCGGTGATTGCTGATTGGTTCCTAAACAACCACGATTTAATGCCAATTAAGTCCCAATTCGATTCTCTCATTAGAGAAGGATCTTTAAAATGGAGAAACTTATGTGAAAACGAAATCTACAGATCCCAATTTCCTGATAAACATTTCGATCTTGAAACTGTTATCCAAGCGAATGTGCGCCCTATTTCTGTAATCCAAGAAAAATCGTTCGTGGGGTTCTTTCACCCCGAACAAGTTGAAGAGGGCAAATTCGACTTTTTACATGGGGCAATGTCGTTTGATAGCATGTGGGATGAAATTAACCACGACATGGATCTTGGTGAATCCAAAGTCTACATCGTGAGTTGGAATGACCATTTCTTTGTGTTGAAAGTGGAACAAGAAGCTTTTTACATAATTGACACTTTAGGTGAGAGGCTATTTGAGGGTTGTAATCAAGCTTATATCTTGAAATTTGATCGAAATACAACGATTTATAAAATACCCGTTTTGGATTCTCAAGAACAGAGGGTTGAGGAGGATCTTGTTGAGGAATCGGTGAAGAAAGTTGGTGAATTTGAGGTTTTTTGTAATGGAAAAGAGTGTTGTAAGGAGTACATCAAGAACTTCTTGGCTGCTATTCCTATTAGGGAACTTGAAGCAGATATGAAGAAAGGTTTGAATTCCTTGACACCAGTTCATCAGAGATTACAGATAGAGTTTCATTACACGTCAGCAAGCCAGTCAGCACCATGTCATTAGCAAACCTAGGTTGCCAAATAGACAAATGTTGCAAGCTTATAGGTATAATTTCTAGAAGGATAAACTAACTTTGGTATACCTTAATCATGGTTAAAGGTTGTTACTTTAGATTCTTGATTGGGTTTTTCTCAAAAAAAGAAAAAAACCCAGAATTTTTTAGGGTTCTTAGTAGTAGATGTTAATTTGATCTCATAGTCTTTGACTTTTTATGTTGACTCCCCAACCCCCAACATAACTTTGTTTTTACTTTTTTTTCTTGAATAGTTATGTAAAAGCAACTTTGTGATCTCTATTGGTGCAAATGAAGATATTTTTCCCTTGTTTGGTTTAGTCATATTAATGCTTGTGTATGTACAACTTCCAATGCATGATGTATGAGTCATCATAGCATCGTTGATTTCAAGAATTGCTTTTTATTTTCGATGCTTTTTAGTCTTCCAAGATATTCTTTATAACTTTTGTGTATGTGCGTGGGATTTCAATTCCCAACTGGTCTTTGTGAGGATTCTTCTGCAATGTTGAATGATTGGCTGGTTTAAGGTTTAAGCATGTGATGTGACCCATAGTTTTATGGTTCATGGGGAGATGTTTCTAGCTGTAAAAGCATGGTGGATGCTTGTTTTTCCAGAGCTGAAATATATGTATTCAAGAAAATGATGCTTGATTGACTTGTATATCATGTCTTGAAATTGTGTATTGCTTTGGATGTGACAGTTTTTGCTCTGGAAACTGCTGGCATAAAGTGGCTTTTTACCTGTGTTCTTTCTTTGTGCGTGTTTGAAGTTTATTTTGCTCATCCTTAACGAAAATTTTATGATTCTTTTTTAGGGATATCATTTACCTCAATAGCCATATTATAATTTTGGCAGCAGCAAGCCTAAAACATAAAATGTTATGTGGTTTATTATCTAAGTGAAATTGATGTAAGAAAAATCAGAAAATACCACTAGGTACAGGCTGGGTCAAATCGTACAAACAAAATATAAAAATAAAAAAATCAAGTTTTTATCATTATAGTGGACGTGTTTTTATATCATGATATATTTTCATAATTATATTATTATTAATACTCTCATATTTTTTCAATATATAACACCAAACTATCACTCAAAAACCGATTATCCCTTTTGTTGACTACATTCAATAGTGGAGGTAGAGTATAAATAGTGGGGTCCATGGACCCCTCTTGAAATTAAAATCCATTATTGACACCCACCACCCACTATGAGATCCATTAGACTCTCAATCAATTATTGATTAAAACATTCAAAAACTTAATTTTGCTCTTTAATTTCTCACTTTATCCTAATTCTCCCCATCTTTATTTGTTTAAAGTAGCCTACTACAAGGAAAAGGATCGGTGCACCATTGTTATCTTGTTGATGCAGCGCTTCCGTCGACCAATTTAGAGTTGGCCACCGACATCGATAATGTTCATTTTCTAAGTTGTTAATCAGTAAGGTATAAAATGGACCCCGATTAAGTTTCATTATGACTTTGCCACTGCCAACATTAGTCTTTAAGAACTTCATTGTTGAAAATGTTGCTCCATACTCCTTGCAAATGGTAAACTCAATGCAAGTTTCAAGATAAAATAAAGCTTAGGACAAATTGTATGTTTATGTTTTTTAACCATCATTTTGACAAGTTCTCCAATACTCTTCAACTGGTTAAATCGTTCATCTTCTTGCATATCCTTAACGTAATTATTAAGTTCCACTTCAAGAACTTGAAGTTGACATAATGTTAGAAACTTTTCGATAAAATGTAGATTAATTTATCTGAATTAAAGGCTTTTAAAGAGTCATGCGAGCACAAACAAGCTAATACAAAGAAGTAATTCACTTTGACTTCATTAAAGCGATGGTTAAGCTCTTGAAGTTGCATATCAATTACCGTCTTAAACATGATAATGAAACATTGTTAACCTAAAAATAAAAAGAATCTTTTTGTATGCTAATGACAAAATGAAATACATAAATCAAGTTGGTAATATCACATGTTACTAATGTGCAAGCCTCTTTGACGATTGATTTCATTAAAATATGCATCTTCCATATCCACGATTTGAATATCATATTTATCACAAAACAAATTAACATTCCCTTAAAGTGATTCCCGTCTACATCCCTAATTTCTTGAATTGTTTTTTTTCAAGCTACTTACTTGATTTATGACATTTACGACATCAATCTTTTCTTTATAATGTTGCATTCAAATGATTTGTGACTCCCAAGATATCAATCATCAAGTGCAAACAAAACACAAAATCAAACGAATTTTGAAATGACTATAAGATGCGAATTGTTTTAGCTTTACGATCACGATCATTATTATCGTCATCAATGGGTACCACTCTTAAGTTCACCTAAATTTTATCGTATAAAAATTTAATTATCATAACATAACTAAAAAAGTATTCTAATAATGAATTTAGTATAATTATTTAACAACCCTCTAGGCAATGCTTCCATAACTTTATTTGCTTGTTTTTTTCCTTAAATTATCTTTTTGTTGTAGGAAAATCTAACAATGTTTAACAATCGAGAAACCACAAAAAAGAAATCATTAACCTTCATGTGATTTTTTGCAACAAACACTAATGCTAACCGAAACAAATGACAATCGACAATTACAAATCAACAATCAAAGCAAAGAAGTAAAGAATTACCAATGAGACAATGATTTTGTTTTTGTTATGTGACTTCTTATTTCATAATTCACAATTCAAAGACAACAATCAAATAATCAAACAAATAAACAACAATAAAAAATTCAATTCACAAAGAAACGATAAAAATCCCTACTGTGATGGAGTCATAGAACAGTCAAAAAACAATTTCACAGTTAACAATTTTTTTTTTTCAATTTCACAATTAGCAATCATGGAACAATGAAACAATAAAAAAACATACAATGAACATGTTATCTTTGATGGAATTGGAGGGCTGAGCCATTGGCACTGGGGAGGGAGGACAACTGGAGAGTGGACTGTCGTAGGCGATGGAAGATGTGAGGTTGTTGGCAGTGGCAACATGCATAAGAGTTGGTCGGTGATTTGTGCAGCGTGTGCACGTATGAACTAAAGCGGGAAAGATGGTTTTGGAAAAAGGAAACGATGTCTATTGAAAACGATTTTTTTTCTTTTTTCTATTATTTAAACCTAACTATTTCTTATTACATTATACCATAAATGAATTAGTTATTTGGGATACCGAAATGTTAAATACAAGCTTTAAAAATCGTGTGTGTGTGTGTGTATATATATATATATATATGTAATGCCAAAAATATGAAGATAATCCACTTCAAATATTTAAGGTAGGTCACAACTTATATTTATATACGACCTTATAAAAAAGTTAAGGTATGTTAAGTGACCCACCTTCATCGTATGTATACTCACCCTTGAGTTTTGGGTCCTAATGTTGGCACCAATCAGATACCCCTCCTCCCCCCCCCCCCCCCCACACACACACACACATATGCTCCTACATTTGCTGTAGTTTGGGTCAAAAACTGATGTGACTCATACTTGCAGTTTATAAAAACTGCACGTATGGGTTCTTTTGATTGTTATCGTTTAACCTCGTCCGTTAAATGCTTGTAAATGAGCATATCATTCCTATTTTATTCTTATTTTTATCATGCTTCAGACATTTTAACATTTTAATGTGGACTACAACCTACCACCACCACCCATCCACTCGTTACAATTTATGGAAAGCCCTACCACTCCTCCACCTCCACAACGAATCTCCTCTACCTCCAATGACGATCCATAAAGTGTCCCATGTTTCCTACATGCCTATTAATTCCAGAAACCATCACCACCACCAAAGTGAATTTGTTAACCTAAAACTAAAACCAATTTAAAATTCTAGCATTGTAACATCCGGAGTTCCAGGTATATTGTTTATTTATTTATTTTTGAGGACTATTGAGCAACTCGATGAGTTGGTGTTACAACTCGTCGAGTAGAGTCGCGTTATGCCACATGGGATTAATGATCTACTTGATGAGTCAGAGAGTCAACTCGCCGAGTAGATGCTGTGAAGTGAAACCCTAAATCCCCGGGTTTGGGGCCTATTTAAGGGAACTTATAGCCTCATTTGCGGCTCATCAACTTCTTACCTTCACTGAGAGAAACCCTAGTCGTCCTTTGAGATAATAGAGAGAGTGTTAAGCTAATATTGAGTATTTTGGTGCATCTTTCGAAGAGAAAAGAAGGATTTCAAGCAAGGAACGAAAAGAGGATGTTAGATCTGTTTCTATTCATCCAAGAGCTTTTGTAAAAGGTATAAAGTTTATAGCTTTATCATTAGTTTGGGTAGATCTCATATTATTGGAGTTTATGGCTCCTTTTTCCATTTAATATTGGGACTTTGAGTGTATTAAGCACATATAGAGATTTGGACATCAGATCTGGACCTTGTGAGGTCCCTAGAGTCCAAAGGTCCCTGCTTTATTCAGCCATAATAGAGTCTTTGAGTGAAAAACCCTCAATAAAGCATGTTCTTGGCATTTCAAGCCCTAAGTGCCATGCATTAACGTAAAGCTCGTGGCTTTATGTGATAAACGAGCCTTGAGAGCATAGATCTAGAGTGTGAGAGGGTTTTCTGCCTTGAAATCATGTGATTGCGACATGGGTCTAAATGGACTCACCAAGTCGATGAGCCGACTCGACGAGTCAGTTAGGGTTTGTCCCGATGAGCTGGACCATGCTATAGCTCGGCGAGTTAGGGGTTAACTCGACGAGTTGGACCTTCATGAGAATTCTGAGGAACGAGTGGACTCGACGATTCGTATGAGTAAACTTGGTGAGTTAGGTCAAACTTGGACTACTGACTTGAGTTTGACCTCTGTTGACTTTAGGGTTTGGTCAACATGAGTAATGGAGACCATGGAGGGGTAAAATGGTCTTTTACCCATTCCAAGAGTTAGAGAGAAAGATAGAACAACCTTTGGTGTATTTGAGTATGGGTAGAGTATTAATTAGAGATAATTATCCTATGTGTTAGGCGGAGGCTAGTTCGAGATTTTCGAGTACGAGACTTTTACTTGCTAGCTTACGAGGTGAGTCTTCTCACTATACTTACCCCGAGTGGTATCTTTGTGTGATCGAGATGTTTTATGTGCTTATATGTGTATTGTGATATTCTGCATTATGTCTTTGTGATTTATGCTGAGTATTATTGTTATGAGCTTATTGAGTTAGGACTGGAGGGTCCACCCGAGTTGTGGGACCGGAGGGTCTCCACTAAAACACATTGACCGGAGGGTCGTATTGAGTTAGCCTCGAGTGGCTAATGTGATG